GGGGGCAGGGGAGGGTCATAACAAATCAGTGAAAAAAAAACACTTTTTTTAAAAATAAATAAAAAATAAATAAAAAAAACATCTTCAAAATGGAGAGACCCGTCTGTGGTCCGAGAACCACGGGTTGATGACCTTTGGTCTAGGGGCTTGACTTCTCTTAGTCCCCATTTTGAATCACATTGCCCCCCCCCCTTTTGTTCCCAATATTCATAATTCATCACAGCAGCTCAGTCAGTGATGTGGAAAATATTTCCGATCAATATTTAATTGATGATGGGTACAGTGGCCTGCAGGGGGCGTGTGGGGGGGGGCAGGGTTAGGATTATAAATGAAACATTTCCATCCACTGAACCTTAATGAATAAATGACATGAATGGAAGAAACACTCCAGGATGACCTGTGGGTCAGTGGGAAGGATTCTTGCCTTACAATTTTCCTCCTGCAGGTTCTGACAGGAAGGGCATCAAACATTTTAATATTTCACTGTCAAAAACCTTCACCTCGTTCCTGGGACGACATCTGATGAAGGCGAGAACGTTAGAATTAAATAAAGGAAATGAAAAGACTCTTAATTAAGATCATGACAGCAGATGGCGCCGCACTCTGAACCTGGTTCTGCCAAGGATTTCTAACTGAGGCCTGGTGCTGGCTCACTGCTGTGGTTCAGATCTAGAGCGTCTGGGTCTCAGCGTCCAAACATAATTCAATGTTTTAATTCTTTCTTAAACGTTAGAATTTCAGGAGTTTTTAAATGCACTCCGTCCTTTGTGGATTTGTGGCTCTAAAACACAGACTCTGACATCAAACTGATTAAAATAAAAGGTTGGGACAGACGCCAAAATGTTACTAAAAAAAAAAACAATTAGCATTTTTTAAAACTCAAACCACAGACAAATGTATGAAGCACAGGGCTGTGGATTTATCATCTGACTCCTGAAATTTAGGAGGCGAAACATATATAAACTATCAAGTTTAGATTCAGTGACATTTTTTCCTGGGGTTGTGGTCGTGCTGCAGGAAGTGAAGCTCACACTGGTGTCTTTGTTGTCGTCACATTAACACGGCGTATGTAGCTCAGCAACAGGAAAGTATTGGATTTCACTGCACTGCATGGGAGTTTTTGTCTGTATTTGCAGCGCTACGTTGGTTTACAGACATTTCTGAGCTGGTCTACAACAACCAACGCTGCAGTGTTTTCATTCAACGCCGTGAACCTGGTCAGACCATAAAATCTGAAGAAACAAATTGATGTTACATCATGAGAAAAGCTGCCCTAATTTTAGCCTCGTGTCTGTGAGGATTCTCCGTCATCCAGGTCATTTCATTATGACAGTTCAGAAGTAGGCAACTAGACTGGCTCAGCTCTGGAGAACTGAAGAAACTGTTCAGATCAGGGGTGTCAAACATAGGGCCCGTGGACCAAAACTGGCCCGCAAGGGAAGTTTAATCAGGTCCGCTTGAGTGAAAAAAAACATGCACAAACACTTCATGTTGGTGATGTTTTGTCAAATTATATTTGTTATTTATAATATTGTTATTTATATTTACATCCAATCCGGGTCAGATGGGTTTGACACCCCTGGTTTAGATCCAGTCCAACTCATGGACCTGACTGTAAAGTTTGAGATTCTATCACAACTTTTCTTCTCCTGCTCATCATTTATTTTCTGTTTCACTTTCTTCTACATCTCCATTTTTCCTTTTTCCTGTCAGACTGGACTGGTTTTACAGCCCAGTGTAGCAGTGGGTTTTCTCCTTGTTACCATTGACAGATTATAACAATGGTCAAAAAGTTTCTAAGAATCTGGAGAAATGATCCACTGGCAGACAGACCTGCCTGCAGTCCAGATCTGTGTGCTGAGAAAAATGAAGCCTCGTGAAGAGAAGTGTCAGACATGTGAGGATCAGAGCTTCAAACTTTCATACTTAAAAATGGGCCCTCCTTACCCCTCCATCCCCC